TGAGTAGATGTAACTTTGCGATTTTTTAACCCCCTTTCCACCTAGTGTGCGAATTTATAGATTACCCACATTTTCAATAGTTTTTTTATACAGGTAGAATTTAATTAAGTTGGAACATTTAGCATCGTGACAAAAATTTCCAATCAGACACTAAAGTTGCACGTTGTTAAATACACATAGCATCTCATTATATCCCACTCTTTTATGATTTATTCAATACCCTCCCTCCGATTTCTTATTTTTGTACGAGTACCATATACTATATGTTACAAGCATACGTTGAGAAATAAAATGTTTTACGAATACTTACAATTGATATGTGATGTTGATATTAGTATTAAGTGATATTTAAGTTTACTTTTAAACACGTACGTTTATAAAACTTTTCCTCGAAAATTGAATAAAAACTGCAAAAAACATTAACAAGAATCGAAATATTTCATTTGTTATTAGTTAAACACTAGTGTTAAATGCTACAAATGTAAAACAAACAAAATTCTCAAGTCAGTAAAGTGTTTGTAGAGTAAATAATTGAGAGCTTTCGTGAATTGTTGTGAAGTTATCGCGCGGTGTGTCGGCGCGGCGGCAGGGCGGGCGGCAGGGCGGGCGGCACGGCCGGCGCGGGCGGGGGCGCGGACACACTGCCGGCGCGCGCCCGCCTTGCCGTGCGCCGACCCGCCCGCCCTCGCTTACTGCCGGCTAGCTACAACTTTGCTACGTAAAAACTTTATGAAATAATTTATACTTTAATGTTTACTTAATCTTTTCTAAGTGTAAAGATTTTAATTCTTCTATGTTTGAAAAAAAAAATAATCGCTCCGTATTGAATTTGTGCTCAGTGGCGCGAACCGATGTGCACGAAGACTCTAAACTACTTAATACATAACTTAAGCAGCGCTTAGTTTGTAGACTGTAATTACGGTTATAAAGTTTAGTCAGGAATGAAACTGTAACGACTCTCCCGCTCAATGCTGTTTACTTGCGGCTTACAGAAGCACGGGACCAGCTGTTGTTTTTTTACATTCAAGGTCTAGTATTGATGAAGGAATTTGTAATCGATTTATTTATTTCTATTACTCAATGCAGCTATCTTAATAAATTATGCTATTTTTCATTGGCTATGAAAATAACAAGCAATATTTTAATAGCTGTCACATACAGTGTGAGCGAAATCTTACTAATATTATGAATTCGAATCCGAAATCTAGTAAATATATAATCGTATGTTGCATTAAAGCTAAATGCAATTTAACAAACTGTTGGCACTCAACAGCTTTCTTTGCTAAAACAATCGTTTATTAAAAAGTCGTTGTTTAACTATTTTTGAATAGACGAATATATTGCGACTAAGAATCCTTTTTTCCATTTTATGCGTCAGAACAAATATTGTAAGATGTCGAATTCAAATAAATCTGAGTCCGGTCATGCATATCAAGTGAGTGAATAATTTATTTTTGTATAACAGATATTCTTCTTTCAGTTTTCTTTTGTAGTTATGTGGTTTTTTTTTTATAATATAAGGTGGCAAACGAGCAAGCAGTCACGTAAAACCACCGAAATGGAAAGTGACCGCTGTCCATAAACATTCGCTCTGCAATTGTAGATGTGCTGCCTACCCTTAATTAACATGAAGAGGACATTTCCCCTACCCATGCGTCTTCTCCACCGTGAAATACACTTTTCCTTCCTATCCTTTCCTCTGAAGAAAAGGGTGGAAAGGGAAAGGGACTAAAATTAGGCCGCCGGCATCACACTCATCAGACGAAACGCGGACCTGCTTCCACTTCACGCCTGTTTTCTGTGTGGTCGTGGTATCCTATTCGTGCGAAGATGTTAAAGCAGGCTCTACCTCTGTTAAATGTGGTTGTTTTGTGATTGTTGAAACATATATTTGATTCTAAACAATAACGTTATAGTCAGAGTAAACTTCTTGTGTTGTCGCAGAAGACCTATTTAGTTGGGTAACGCACGTCAGAGCTCGTTAAAAGCAGCAACGGCCGATGTCTTGACACGCGTCACCTCGTTTCTAAATTAGTTTATGAGAAGTCATAAAACACTTACTACAAATAATAATGTATAATAGTTCTATTTATACAGCGGCCATGTGCTGTGAGAACAAGGAACTGTCCTCATTTACTTTTATCAACGTGAAAAAGCCACAGCGATGACAAATCTGCCCTTCTATACTAATGTGACGCTAAAATTACTATTATATCTTTCTTTAATAGGTTATGTAATTTTTTAGCGGAAACTCTATTTAATAAGGGAAATACGAAGAAAAATTTGCCTTTCTCCGTAAGTTAAATAGATGTAGACTTTTACGGCAACCATTTTGTGTTTATGTGGGGATTTCTGCGAAAGTATCGACTGACATTTCCAGATACATTGCCATTAAAAGCCTCGTCGCGGCGACGCCCTCGATATTTACTGACATTTGAAAAAAATAAGGCGCTGCTGCAAGACAATGGACGTAAGTATTTGCGATGTTACGTTCTGGAAAAGCTGTAACAATTTATTTATATAGCCACCATAAACTATGACGGTAATGATTGATTGTCACTTGGAACTTTTAACCAGTTTTGGTTATAACGCTTTTAATAATTTATGCTGATATTATAAAAAGGAAATATTTGACTGTTTGCAGGCTACGAAAGTACTGGACTGCTAAAAATCACTGATTAATATAGGCTATATTTATTTCTAGATTATTTCCAAGTCTGCACAGACCTAGTCAGGAGCAAATGCTTATAGATATCTAATCGATTCTAAGCTACTCTTATATTTTAATTAATTTCAGTAACAGACAAATTGTTTCTTGAATTCACCAAGAATAAATTAATAGTTTACAATATTCCTGGCTCATTCTTTGTCGTGGCAATAAAGTAACACACCTGTAATTCACAGTGACTGGCAAAGTGGCGACGTCTAGCGGAAGACCTCCGACATTTCGGCAGCCGCAGGAAGCGAGCCGACCGCACCCACTTCCGGTCTCACCCTCTACCTTTATATCGTCATTCAATAAACGCGAGGTTATGCCTTTGTACAAATACTTCGGTGTGGTTTACTTTAAAAGATTCGCAAACATAATATTTAGTGAAGCAGTAAATCTAAGTACTACAATTCGGGACAGGAATAAATGCAATCGATTGTCTATACTAATAAGTAAAAGTCGACTGCAGTTTATTTTAAGGATGAAGCAATCAACTTAGCTTTAACAAGCTACTGATCGATGCGTCAATAAATATTGAATGAGTGAAGCTTCAAGGCTTTACTATTATTTAATGAAGCAATTTTATATATCAGAAACTAAACTAAAAAGAGGAACATACATGAAAATTAATGAATAATAAACTCTCCTAATTCTCTATAAAGTTTACTAATTTTATTTTAAAACAAAACTTTAGCGGTGAAGTTTAAGAAAACGACGCGAGCTGTGAGCGTCGCTGGCATCGCGCCAGCGGCCGGCTCTGCGATATCAGAGATGGATAACATAAACTGTTTATGTAGCGTAAATAAAGATATAGTTGGCTTAAACACACTATGATAATGTATGCAGCACACGAGAAAGCAGTAATAGTAACGACAGGATTACATACTGTCATGTTCTGCTCTAAGCTGAATAGTTAAATGGTTACGACGATTGAAATGAACGAGAGTAACTGTTGTGTTATTTAAAGTTCAAATAAATTCCAGGGAGATAGACTAAAAGAAGTGCCACAGATCTGTGAATTACTCAGTTTCACATAACCCTCTGACGCCTCCTGCTTATAGAATCTCGCCCAGGGCTCTAGTAGCGCTTACTGATCTCATATGACCTAGTGCCATAAATAATATACGCATTAGTTATTGATTTACCATATGAACAAATACGTAATAAAATAAATCTTGTTAAACGCATAGTAACATTTTTAAGCCAATTATAGCGAGCATACATTCACCAATTATGTTTTTTATAGAACACGCGGCTGCGAACTTACACCGAATACGGGATTCGTTTCAGCAACCGTTACTGTGTTCATTGCTGTAAAATGCAACCTATACGTAAAAGATAAGGTCCTTTTTACAATAACATGGTTTCAAAAATTATAAAAGCCAAACATACCACAAAGTCGCTTTTTTTGTCCCCGCTTTGTGTAGCAAATCCAATTTCGTAAACAGAGTTTGTTTTTTTTCGCACATGATTTTTGTAGAACAAATTCTGTTTCGCAGTATTCAAATTTTAAAAAAACAACTGATGTCACTTATACTGATGATACATCTACTTTCAGATTTTTTTATAGTTATATTGAGTTCTAATCGAGGCTCCATACAGTTATATGACAACTTGAGTTTTTAAATAACTGTGTTTATGATGAAAATACACATGTCTGTATGACTCATCACACACACCCAAATCATATTCCTACAGTTAATCATAAAAGCCTATTAGGCAAATTTCATGTCGTGAGTTCCAGAGGTGTGGTTTTTATGGACAAAAAACTTAAATTACTGCCATTAAAGTTATTTCACTTATTTATACAAAAAAAACTCAGCTTAGTATAATCTGATAAACGCAGATGGGTTAGTTTAAGTTATTATGTATAAAAAGTGCTTTTAAATGACATTAAAATATAAAAAAACCCATTTTCTAAATATAGGATACGATAGCACGTAAAAGGTTGTGTAGGTCAAGTGTAATAACCCGGAGTGGTGTTAATATTAACCGTGGAGGTTGCGTGTCGAGCGCCGAGCACCAGGCGATGGGCCATACCCTGCGGGTACAGACACGCACACGACAGCTTACAGACCTGGCGTGTTTGTGTCTTATACCTCACCCATGGACAACGCTACTTCAATATAGTAAAATTGTACCATAACCAATTCTAAACACAAACATTTTAGAAAATATCATGGGATCATAACAATACCATAATTATTTACGTCCATGTCTATGGGAATATTATGACTAATTTATTTAATGAAACGTGAAACGTTTTCACTTATGTATTTTCTTTTCTATCCTATTTATATGGCACGATGTTGCTTAGCCGGCTAGCGTGGCTGGGCGCAGTCGTTTTATTTATGATGGTAGACGTAATGAAATCGCTGCGGACAATACAAAGAATTCGCTACTTTTGATTGATGATTTTAATGAAAGGTTTTAAAAATAACAGTAGATAGGTACGCCGTGTCTTTTGAAGTCGGCCTTCTTTTTTTCAAGAAACTTCATAGGTACTTTGTTATATGATATGGGATAGGTTCCACGTACATTTCGTTTTGTTGTTTTAATAAGCTTAAGAAATTAAAATCTATTTGAAAACTGAATAACTTTCAGTCATAAGCCCAACACATGTACTTACGCTCGTTGGCGAACGATCGGAATATAAATAACACGACGTTTTAATCTCAATATTTTAAAATATTCAAATAAGGTTGATATTATTATTTTATATTGAACATGTACTTACCCATTCTCCGCCATTTCCTCGCGCGATACCAAAGGTAGCGTAGTCCATAGCCGCGCTGAGTGTCCAATATCCGCTGTTCTGGGTGGTTGATATTTGATAACTCGATATCTGGAAATAACCATTAAAGTTGTACTTAACGCAACGCTATAATCTAATACTTAAAATAAAAACAAATAAGCTTGTAAACGAGTTCAAAGGTTGTAGACATAACGATATTTAGTATATTTACACTAATATAACGTTTTAGTAACATTGCTTTTATTTTAAGTAAATAAGTTTTTCGTAGAAAATGCCATTAGCACAGTGGCGGCCGGCCCCTTTCCGAATTCGATCCGGTCTCTAGATTTACAGGAGGCTCTACTGCGTGGATGGATAATTTTTATTCTAGCTTTGTTTTGTATAATGCAGGCAGCTATAGTAATAAGTTTAGATTCATCGTCGTCTTTACTTCCCACAAGATACTTTGAGATACACGACTTTTCGGCCGTTATTTGCCATGGCTCTACTGAAAGTCCTAAATAGTTATCTCTGGAGATAAATCGATAACCGAAGCATACTTACAACAGAACGTGATTCTGGTTGAAAATTAGGTATAACAAAACTTCTATTTTACGTAAAATTCTAGGCGAAATTGTGATCGATTTGGTTCACTTATTCAGTAACACCAGCTGTGTGTTGATGGTTCCTTATCTAATATAGAATGCTGACCGTTTACAAACCAATTTAACAAAATGATACCTAATTTTCGAAAAGGTCAGGGTCGTAATTTTAAACCTTAAACTCGTTTCTGATAATAAGACAATTAAAAATCATATTTTGAATAGGGTATAATTGGTATGTGGTAACATCATCTAACATCCACAGAGGCCCTTTAGGGAAGACGTGTAATATTGATCTTAGTAATGCGAAAGTTTGGATGGATGGATGTTACCTCGTATCTGCAAAACTGTTGTATAGATCTGGATGAAATTTTGTATAAGTATAGGATATAGTCTTCTTTTTATCCGCGCGATGTCGCGGGAAACATGCGCTAGTTCTGTCATGAACAAATTAACTCGACACTTTGCCCATTTCTCTAACGGAGGATAAACAGAAATTAAGTGATTTAAAATAAATAGAATCATTTTAAACAATAATTTTGTTGTAATTTAATAATTCGTTACCATTTCTTTGTACCAAGTGTTGCAGTAGTGCTAACATGTCATATACACGATAAATGTACTCATTCACGACGGAGCGTGATAACAGCCATGTTGTAAACAAACTGATAAGGGAACGTGTGTTAAAATCAAATTAGAGGTATATTAGTGATAGAATAGATACCTGCGCCGGCGATGTCTTGGTAGCTGTCACGTCTCAGTCTCCTGTTGTTCATGGCACAATACAAAAACTTTAGCGAAGGATTTAACTGTACGATTTATTTACACAAGATTGCGATAGTGGTGTCGCCATCGGATGTTAGTGTGGACTGATGTTTAATCGTTGTGCGTATCATAATTGACTATAAGCTGGTAGTTTTTTTTTATTTAAGGAGACATCACTAATGTTTATAGCTAGCTTTTTTAAATGTATCTAGTTACATTCGTGTGTTTTTTTTTGTGTTTATCAGGTCCAAATTATTGTTGCAAGGTTAACATTCAAATGTTTTGGTTAACAGTTTTACTTATTGTCAATGACAACCCAATTATAGGTGATTTATATGAATCCCGCTGGCTCAGTGCGGGTTGGTTGACTTGGACATGTCTTTGAATGTTTTCCTTCCCCGTGAGAACGTTGGGTAAATTATATACATATGAGTCTCGAAATTCGCATTAGTACATGGCGGGATTCGAACCCAAGGCCCGTACATAAAAACTCATGGTTTAATATCGGTAAATAAAATAAACTCGATTATGTTGTATTATCTTTATTAAAGTAACAGAACACAGGTGTGTAGACATTGCAAAAACGTATTAAGTTGTAACAGTGTTATTGTTGAGGAGAGGCGCAGAATCTTCGCAGTCAGATTTCTCGCTGTCGCTGCAAACTGAAAAACAAACGTAACCTAAATTTGCGACTTGTATACTAAATTAAAACACTAATTCCATGTTAACACGTCAAGCTATAATATCAAAAGCAAATACAATATAACCGAAATAAATATAGTGAGAAAGCGTCGCAAATAAATATAATATGGAAAAATAAACATATAAAAAGGCGAAGCGAATTGAAGCTGGACTGACCTTAGCGTCTGCTACCACTGGCTCTTACAGCACAGTGGGTCTACACTGACCTTATAATTCAAATAAAAACAATTGAACTGCATATTGTTGTAGAATTTCAGTGCAAACCCACCGTTATATAGTGTTATGTGTACTTTTAGTTGAATATAATATTTTAACAGTTTGTTATAAATATAGCATCAAGTATTTTTACAATTATATTTTTCACATAAAATATCAAACTATAGACAAGATAGTTTTTTTTTAAATATCGAACTATGTTTTACCACGAAGTAATCGGTACGTAGGAATAAAACAATATATAAAAATGTACATTTGCTTATATTTGACATAAAAACACAGTCCATAGTATATTAATGTCGCTCGAATTATATACATTTCCAACACTCGTCGCAACAGACACGAACATTGTCGAAACATCTTTGAAAAGTTCTAAAACACATTTAAATAAGCTATAGACAAGAGAATTTTTTTAGAAATTAAACTATTATGAAGAATTAAGATTCCTTCATACTATAAATTGTTATAATTGGGACAATATTCGTAAAGTTCTGTAAACTCAGAGCAATATACCGTATTAAATACATCAGCTAAGAAAACATTCATTGTGCTACACAAATAACTACTAAACGGTAACTGTTACTATATATATTTTTTTTATTTGTAAGTTAGAAATGAATGCTTTCACTCCATATTTCATAATAAACACAATAATCACACATGACTATTTTTTTATTGTAAAACAGGGAAAAATATTTTTATCTGTGTATTAGCGAAGAGCGTATGCGAATAGCTGAGCAGCCAACACCGTGACTTAATTCAAACCTTCACTGTATAGACATCAGGTAGAATGTCGTGTGGCATAATGTTAGTGTCTCATATTGTCACTAAATGAGTATTGACGGTTTTGTCTACTGTCATGTTGAGAATGGTTTTTATTCCATGAATCTTTTCTATCTATAGCTATACTAATATAATAAAGCGTAAACACACACTTCTTTGTTGCCTAAGATGTCAGCAGTCACAGCATACTTTTGAATAGTTCTTTAATGAGAGACCCTACACTTGCGTTACGCTTTAGGCTTTAACGCCATTAAACATAGGAGGTAAATCTTTTGGATAAAAACCCTAATGTGTGAAAGAGACCATAAGTTGCTGCCAACATCAAGGAAGCAAGGTTGTCATCATGTTATGTCATTTTGACATTTGCTATTAATAATTTGACAAATGTAAACAATAAAATAAAGTTTTTATAATTTCATGCGGGTGAAGCCGCACGGGAACAGCTAGTATATAAGTAAATCCAAAATATGTTAGTACAGAGTAAAATTTAAACTACCCACAGTGTTTTCGATCAAATTATGAACATTAACATATACGTAAATCTCAAAATCTCGACAAATAACTTTATATTTAATTAAATATATACGAAAAAGACTAAATTAACAACACTACAAAATCATGAAAATGTATTAAATTGCACGCTTATTACTGATTTCAAATTAGCCTATTATGAATCGAAAACCAACTTTATACTGTAAAGTTTAGAGTCGAAAATGCTCTACATGACTTACTGCGTGTCACTCCACGCGAACTCCGTAACAAGCAGACACTCGCTTATCTAAAAAACAACCATATACCTTCACTGTCTTTATATTTTGAGTTAATCGCAAAATAGATGTTTTCATGTCTTTATATTGCATTAAAATCTCATTTTTTTATTACGAAAGTGTATATTTTGTAATTTTATTTCGATTGATCGAAATATAACAAAATAATTAGCAAACAGTATTTATTCGCATATCGAATGACAATTAAGGGAAATTCTTTGTACAAACCACCTAACAAACATCACGAACAATCACAAAAACGCTAAGTGCGAAGAATGTAGTTAATACAGCTAAGCGATAGATATCCAAAATTAACCTTGAGACATTAGCAATAAGGTTTAAAACGCGGAAGACGGATTATTTACTAAACATTTGATTCAACTACTTTATTTATTTGAGTCAAAAATTGTTAGAAGTGGCGCCATCTACATACCGTCTTCCGCATTATAATTTTGTTAGCTTAATGTATACTTATGTAGCATAGAATAAGTACAACTGTTATGTTTTTATTTGTCAAAGTACGGCAAGGTGTCTCGACGTCGTTTGCGGACAGCTCGAGCGGGCAGAGGGTTAACAACCAAATCAATATATAGAGAAAACTTACAAAATAACGTTTCAAACATTGTCTGTCCTAAATAAACTAGTTCCAATATAAGCAAAAATCAACCTATTTAAATATAAAAACAAGTTAAAAGTCTATATTTCTGTATCGATCATAACAAAATATAAACAAGTGTTAACGAATCTT